CCGGCGTCTTCTCGGGGTTTCCTCACTTCATTTCCTGAAGTGTTTATTAATGGAGGTACGTGCGTGGTAGTTAGCTAGTAATGTTTCTTTTTTTTGGTTTTTGAGTTCCACGTACGTTGACTTAGGCGTTTTCTCTTCACATGAAAAACAAATAATGACAACACATTAACATGATTTATTTAATCATCATTAGTGGTGTAATATTTTTCTAATAAATATGACCGTGTCAAATTTTATACTATCAATATAATATACTCTATTGTTTAAGTTACTTTATTAGACTTATCATAAAAAGTTACATTGCTTATTATTCTAAATCAATTTAACCTAATGATTAAATTAAAAGTGAGTGTGTCATCAAATGAGCCAACTTACTTTAATGGAGTACTTAGTAAAAGTAACTCTGCAATTTGAGAATCCAATCCTAATTCGTTCCCGCAAAGTTCTTTTATCCCCTGTATGGCCGTTACTGCATATTATATATCTTCCTTTTAAAGTTAACTTAATTATTATTGTAATCTACCCTCTTTTCCTAGTTGTATAAAATTCTTCGTAATGTCAATGGATAATTTTAACGGGAAAATGTTGGTCATATAATAACAATAATAATAATAATAATAATAATAATAATAATCTTACTATCTTAATTAGCGACTGTTTGACCTTTCTGGCATTTGATGTTTTTATAATTCTCTAAGATGGCGCACATAGTGAGATTTTATAGAATCCATATATGTGAACATTATAGTTCTACATTTCCCTTTCCGTTTCTATATAATCACTAGTCCTATTATTCTCAGAGTGGTTAACTCTTGTTGCTTAATTTTGTTGACAACAGGTATATTGCTGGGATATGTGTCCAACTTCGCCTTCTCCAAGCTCCCAGCACACTTGAGCTGGCGATTCATGTTAGGAATCGGAGCAGTTCCTTCTGTATTCTTGGCTATAAGTGTTCTAGCCATGCCCGAGTCACCGCGTTGGCTCGTCATGCAAGGTCGACTTTCCGAAGCAAGAACTGTTCTTAAGAAAATCTCCGAATCACCCGAAGAAGCAGATTTGAGACTTTCTGAAATCAAAGAAGCGGCTGGCATACCCGAATGCTGCAACGACGACGTTGTGGAAGTCCCAAAACGTCCCAAAGGTGACAGTGTATGGAGAGAACTATTCATTTCTCCTACACCAGCTATTAAACACATAGTACTTACTGGCCTTGGTATCCATTTTTTTCAACAAGCAAGTGGAATTGACTCTGTTGTTTTGTATAGTCCAACAATTTTTGAGAAGGCGGGTATTAAATCAGACACGGATAGGTTACTTGCCACAGTAGCAGTGGGAATAATAAAGACAATATTTGTTTTAGTAGCCACATTTTTACTAGACAGAGTTGGGCGTAGGCCGTTGCTTCTAACAAGTGTTGATGGAATGGTCATGTCATTGATATTCCTCTCTATTGGCCTTACAGTAATTGACCACTCAGATGGCACGGTATTTTGGGCCATAGCACTTTGTATCACAATGGTATTGGCTTATGTTGCACTTTTCTCAATTGGGGCTGGTCCAATCACATGGGTGTATAGTTCTGAGATTTTTCCATTAAGACTCAGGGCAACAGGGTGCAGTTTAGCGGTGGCACTGAACAGGGTGACAAGTGGGGTGGTATCAATGACATTCTTGTCGTTAGAAAAGGCGATAACGATCGGAGGGGCGTTCTTTTTTTATGCAGGACTTGCTGGATTGGCTTGGGTGTTTTTCTTTACGTTAATGCCAGAAACGCAGGGGAAAACATTAGAGGAAACTGAGGAATTGTTTGGAACTTTCTTCAAGTGGAGGTTAACATTGCGAGAACTCAAGGCAAAAGAAAAGAATAACAATGCCCAGATTCAGATGGCTACTGTGCCTGCTGTTGGTAGTTGAAAAAGACAATGGAAAATAGTTGGATATCCTTGGCATTGGTTTTACTACAGGAGATTTTCTGTCAACTTAAACTATTACAAGTTGGAGAACCATCCTTGTTTCGGTGTTTTAATATTGTTGTCCTTTCAGCTTTTACATAGTTCAAAATAGAATAGATTACGAGATATTTAAACTCGTAATATGGCCGTTTTAAATTGTAACCTTTTTAGCTGTTTGGCTGTTTTCATGGAAATTAAACTTTCTCTCCTCACCTCTCAAGATGTCGGCTTGGTTGGAAGTGAAAAATTAATAATATGGAATTTAGGAAGTATGGATGAAGGGGTAAAGAAAGAAACATGTTAGGAAAAAAAAAATACAATCTCTGTTTTAGTTTAGATGACACATTTTTCTTATTAGTGTGTTCCAAAAAGAATGATACATTTCTACAATTGAAAATAATTCAACTTTAAATTCTTCATTTTACCCATTTTACCCTTAATGAGAAGCTTTTATAACCATACAAATGACATGGTCCCACAAGCTTTTACCCCTTAACCTTTTAAGACCACAAGTTTTAAAAATTTATTTTTTTTCTTATACTCTATGCCGAATCAAACTACCTCATCTAATTTGAAACGGAGAGAGTATACTTGTCTCTCATGTAAGGATTTCCAAAGGGGTTTATAATATCTTGGGCCACTCAACCAATTACTTTAAGGGGACGTTTGGTATGATGCATACGAATAATGTTGAATAGAGTATATTAGTAATGCTGATATTAGTTATGCTTGCATTTAAGAATAATATAAATGAGCAAGAAAGTAAAATGTTATTGAGCTTTGAACTAAGTCTAGTGTATGCTTGTCAAAAAATTCGTGTCCTTACAATGATGGTAGAACTCACTATTTATAGCCGCACTTAGGGAACAAGGTCCTAGGATCAAGCCCCTCTTAAATGATAATTATGAGGGCCATTGAAGAATCTGTAACGGTAGGCAGTGAAGGCCATATTCTTTGTAACGGACCACGCACTTAATGCTATAGAATATTCTTCATTGAATACCACCGGGTAGCAGGTATTTATTTCGCCTTTATGAATGTCATTCTCTCCGGTAACAAACGAGATCGTTGCCTTCGGACCCGACTATCTTCTGTCTTCGGCTCCACGTGTCATTTTCTCATGCCGTTATTAAATATGAACATATTTTACCCAATACAAATAGTCCCCTTGCTTTCCGGTGGCATTAACTTTGTGTCACCGGGAAGTTGGTAAACATACTTTTTTTGGCGGAAAATTCTCTGACCCCTTCTAAGAAGTTTCTGACGATTGATTAGACACATGTCTCTCCGCATTTAATGTCCCGAAAACTCGTCATCCCATAATTTAGCATCATTTTTGCCGGTTATCAAGGTAATTATGGCCACGATTTTAGTCATTTATTCCTTTACTTATATGCATCAAACTTCTTCATTTACACTTCATAATTCTCCAAACTTTCTCAAACTCTCTTTACTCAACTGATACTTTGTCTTTAACCTTTCTTTAACCTTCTTCTTCAGAGAAACCTTTCCTTCCTTTCTGGTAAGAATGCATTCTTCTTCTAGAAGCCCTAGTTCTTCAAAAAATAAAGGTAAAGCTGATGATGATGCTCAAGCTACGGTGAGCACCATCATCCCAAGAAGTCTTGTCACAACTAAGTACTTCGAAGATAAGTATCCTTCCGCTAACCCTCGTACATGGGCCTTTGACATGTACCCTTCTTCCACCCGTCTTTCTAATATTCCTGTCATGAAGGAAGACTGTCATTGCCAAGATTTAGACATTATCCCTCTTGATCTGGCGGAGCAGATAACCATACCCAAGAAGGGTTTCACGTATTTTTATACGTATCCCTTCACTTTGGGGTCGTTCTCTTTGAGTGGGGAACTTGATTCTGTTATTGTGGAGTTTTGCATCCATTACCAGGTATGCCTATCACAAGTAAATCCTTCTGTATGGAGGACAATCTTTTGTCTTCGGCGTTTGTGCTAGGAGACGGGAGAGGAGATAACCCTAGCTCGATTAATGAACCTTTATTCCCCCAAGATGTTTCGCGGGAGAATGATAAATTTCAGCGAACGTGGCCATCATGCTCTATTGTCCAGCATGGATGATGAAAACGACCGTGGGTGGATGGAACAGATCGTTGTAGTTGCAACAGTGGACATCATTCCGGGCACAGCTTCATCCTTTCCGAAATTGTGGAACCATACTCGTAAGTTCATTGTTTGTTTCTTCTTCTAGCTAAAGATCATCCCATGTTGTTACTGACTCCTCCTCTTTCACTTGTTTCAGCAACTCGGTGTGTTCCACTGAGGGTCGAAGGCTTGGACCAGTGGGTCAAAATAATTTTGGATGTTACTACGTCCGAGACCCGTACGTGGAAAGAACTAGCCCTTAAATATGGGTGGAAGGCCAAAAATCATGGTAGGTTAAACTCATCTTGTTTTTCCTTTTCGTATAAGAAAGCTGATTAACCTCCTTCTCTTGTTGAATTTAGGTCTACCCTAAGGTTCAGTTGTTGTCCCCGAGGAGGACATTTTGGCTAATCCTGTTGACGCGGCGAGGCTACTGCAGGAGGCTTTTACCCAAACAGGTGTCTCCTTGCCTGCTTCTGGTGCAAGTGCTTCTTCTCGGAGTCCCCGGCCGGAGAACAAACAACCAAAAGGAGACGTAGGGTCGCGACCGGGGGAAACAATAAAAAGGCAAAGAATGCAGCGCCTAAGACATTCCCGGATGTCGTAGAAATAAGCATCGCGCCCGAGCCGATCCCAGAAGCTGTGGTGATCGACGATGATGGAGGAGCCAGTGATGAGGGGGCTTGTCTACATAAAGACGACGACTTTCATCAGCTCAACAGAATGCTCAATCCGTTGAGCTAGTTACACCAACTGAGGACGATGCCTCGGCACTCCGGGGGGAGTTCGATATGGTGGAAGATGCTAACTCACGCTTCCAAGCCCCAATTGTCGTGCCCGATATTATGAGGTTGAGTACCGGGTCCCTTCTGTCTTCGTTTGACGAGCAACCAACAACCAGCACTGCATTTACCGCAGCTTCTTCTCATCCTACAATGCCATCTTCTTCATATCCCTCTTCTCCAACTCTGCCTTCGCCACCAGCAACTGCTACATCATCTCCATCGGCCGCAGTTGCCCGAGAGGAGGATGTCCCTCTTCCCCAGTCCCTAGTTCATGGGAATTTGGGGCAAAATTATGTTGTCCCCTCCGAAGATACCCAAAGAACTCCATGAGTGTCACCCTTTCGGTCTCTATCGGATGCCATCTGTTATCCTGGCCGGTGGAGCTTGCTAACTATCTGAATCCTTTGGCTTCAAAAACAGATAGGGATAAGATACAAACTCTCTCATGAGAGTGTTTGTTGAAAAATGTCGTGCACAACACAGCTATAGCCTTTGTTTCCTCTGTCGTTTCTTTTATCTTTCTTATGGAATGGTTTTGAATTTGTATTTTTGTTTTGCAGGCCAACTTCCTTGCTTCTGAGGGCCTTCAAAGGCTGATTCGTGATAAGGAGGAACTTACCTCCGAGCAGGATCGACTTTTGGCCAAGCGAGACCAAACTGCTACTCGCCTCTCAGAACTGGAAGTACGAGCTGCTGAGGCCGTTGAGTTGGAGGCTCGGTTGCTGCAAAGCGAGTAAGAAATAGTCACTCTTAGCCAGGAGGTCGCCCTGTTAAGGGCACAATTTGAAGAAACTAAGGCCAAATGGGTTGAGGTCCATAATATCGTTCTTGCTGCATCCGATCACGAGGCTGCCACTGCAGAGAGATTAAATAATTTGTAGGCAGCCTTAAACTCCAAAAATGAAGAGGTTACTGCTGCCGAGGCGAACTATGCCCGGTTAGAGGAGAAGCAAAAGAGGACCATCGAACATAATAGAGTTTTCAGCTCCACTGTCCGCGAGCTTGATGTCAGCCTCCGGTCCACCAGATCCGCGTGGGATAACCTTTCTACTGAGGTCGACCAACTTAAAGAAGAACTCCAGCACCGAGCGTCTTCCCTCATTGTTGATAAAATGTATGCTATGTATAACATGAGGAGAAAAACCTTGGAGAGGCCAAAGCGGGTGTCATTGACTTTGATGCCAAAATCTCTAAGGCCTGTGAGCTGGAGTCAACTGCCAAAAGGGGTCTTTCGGTCCGTCCTGATGCTACTGACTCTTCTGGTCCTAGTTTTGAGTTCTCGAGAACTGAAGAAGAAGCGGAAGGTGATGATGCTGAAGGCCAAAATGATGATGGCCAAAATTTTGAGCCGGCGACGGATCCACCCACTTCTCCTAGGGGTGTAGATGCTCCTCTTCCTCCGGGTTTCGGAGATGCAGTAGCTTAGTTTATGCTTTCTTTTATTTTTCATACTTTTGTATTTGTGCTACTTGGCATGTTTATTATGAATAGAAACACTTTTCCGTTCAAGTATTGTTCAAGTTTTTCTTTTTGCATACTTTTCGTTTAGGTATTTGCGCAAGTTTTTCTCTTTGCATCCTTTTCGTTTAAGTATTCTTGTCAGTTTTCCCCGTCGAGATATGCGAGGCTTCGGGTATATTTTTCCCCGGTAGTATTTGGATTCCGGGCATAGGTTCTTCCGAAATCAACCCTTTAACATGAGGGTTTCATAAGAGAGGGTCCTCTTATGTTTACGGTGCTCTTGAAGAGGACGTCTCCTGTTCATTATGGCACTAGCATTTGAAGTACTTGTTTAATATTCAAATGATAAAATTAACTCATCATTTAGACAAGAAACAAGATAGAAATAAAAGGACTTTACTTTATTCCTTCCATTTTCAAAAGTACATAAGCATTCATTGTGCTAAAAAGAAATTGTCATTTCTTGTGGCTAACTTGTACAACTTGTTTCTATGGGGCTGGCTGCACAGTCCCCGATCCTGATGATATAATTATGTATCCGGGTTTCGTATTCCGGTCGATGTGACAGTCATTGTTGCCGTTCGATAGCAAACTTCACTTCCCCTTAAGAATTTATGTTATCGAGCCAAAGATTATCTAACAATCCCCCAATTGCTTGCACTTGTGAATGGTCGGGTAATATCTGTTTGACAACAAACTTTACTTCCCGGTAGGAACTTTGCTATCGAGCAAAAGATTATCTAATCGCTCCATAGTGGTTCTTTCCTTGTGTGCCTTTTCATTTAAAGGTCTTATTGTTGCTGCTGAAGCTTCCTTCATAGTATGCTTTCCGTTGCTGCCTCGTTAAAAAACTTTCCAGAAAAACCCAATTGGGACAAAAACTAGACGAAGGGAAAAAAGTGCAGC